TCTCTTTGGTTTTGAGACTTTAGTCTTTGCAACTTTACAGATCTTCTTTATGCACCAAGAGCTTGTAACATTCCAAAGAGAAAGGAAAAATTGAAATCGCATCATATGACCCCTTTAAGTGTGACCGGTGCCTGAAGCATACATCTAAACACGACAATAACATTGGCCGGTGAAAGCCTATGACGTCATTACCCAGCGCGACCACAGTATAAAAGGGTGCCGGGAGAACACGTCATCCTCTTCTTCGTCTTCTCTACTGTTTTGTTTGAAGCGTGCATTCCGGTAAGAACGAGTCTTTCCTCTTTAAACCATGGCGAGCACTAGTAAGGCATTTAAGAAGTGTGTGGATCCATGTCCTCGTTATTTGACACCTTATGATACACACGATCTTTGTGTCTTGTGTTTGGGTGAAGAGCACACGCGCGATGTCCTCGAGGGGGCAATCTGCGTGCGTTGTGAGTGTTTTTCAATGAAAAAGCTCCGCTCTCGTTTGTTTCGCTTTTTCGAGGAAAGAGGGACAGCCATCAGCTCCCCGTGGTTCAGGACCCGCTGCTGCTGAGGCACGGAGGAAAATGAGCTTGTGGGGATCGCAGGTGGACCTAGCTGATGATTTGAGAGAGAGTCTTTCCCCTTTGCGCTCATCAGTTATGGATGAGAGTGAGCTGCTGGATGACGATGCTATTTCTCTTACATCGTCTGATCCAGCGGCTAGTGCTCTGCTGGCTCAAAGCCAGGATGAGCAGGAGATGTCAGATGAGGACGAAGAAGTCATTCCTCCTGCCCTGCATACGCTGAGTTGCTTGAGGTTATGGAACGTGCCACGGCGAGGCTTGACTTGCCGTGGAAGCGGGTTAAGAAAGTGGCGCCTCGAGGCCGCCTCTATTTTTCATCCCGCATCCATAGGTTTCAGCATACTAGTTATGCCAATATTGAGAGGATGCATGAGAACGGTTATGAGAATATGCCCCCTATTGAAGAGACGCTAGCCAGCTATCTCTCTGTGGGTGAGACATCTTCTCTTAAGGCTCCCTGCCTGCCATCCAAACCCCTTCAAGATACATCTCGTTTGAATGGCAGGGCGTACGCAGCAGCAGGGCAGGCTTCAGCTTCTTTGCACACCATGGCGGTGCTTCAGGCTTATCAGGCTGACCTGTTGAAAGACCTGGATAAAGGCCAGGGTTTATCCCCTGATGAGATGGCTGAGTTGCGTCGCACCACAGATCTCGCTCCCCATGCCACTAAGCACTCTATGGCGGCCATGGTGGTTACGGAGAGGCATCTATGGGTGAACCTGGCGGATATCGGGATGAAAGAGAAGGGCTTTCTCCTTGATGCGCCAATTTCCCCTTCTGAGCTTTTCGCCACTTCCGTCGAGATGGTGATCGAGAAGGCCAAGACGCGCTCAGCTTCCTTTAAATCCTTCATTCCACGAAGGTCCAGGTCTGAGCCCAAAGAACAGAGGGGTCCTGACCCGTCTTGATCTAAGGGTCAGAGGCGGGCACAGAAGACTAGTGTCGCGACTCGCGCCCCTCCCCCGCCTTCGGGTAGGGCTCAAAGGAGGCGTGAGTCAAAGGGTAACAGGAAAGATTTGAGGGAGGTGATCGAGACGAGGCATTCTCAGCGCTCTCGTCAGGACAAGAGTAAAACCTGGGCATCTTCTCACCTCCCTCCGAGAGTTTTAACATCTGCTCTCATCTTCCTCCCTTTAATTCCCCTGAAGCCACCATCCCCTCCACCTGACCGAGGTTAGGTAGGAGCCTCCTGTGCTCACATTACAGTCTCTCATGCTGGACCTATGTTGTTTTTGGTTAGTTTCTATATCCCATAGAACTACCTACTGATGGTCCGGACCCAAGTGCTCTTCGAACTTCGCCTTCAGATGATACCCGTGAGCTTGAGTCATGTGCGGGAGCCGTGGTTGGTGAGTACAATCCATTTCATCCACTCTATTGCTAGTTTATGTGAATTCACTAACTAGTTTTGATCCTGTAACCTGATCCTGTTTTTCTGACTGTGTTTTATGGTTAGGACCTCTGCAAGCACCTCCCCTGCTGAAGTCAGAACCTCTCGCTGTTGACCGATCGTGGTGATGTTCTCACCCATCGGTACTGGATCCAGGCTGGATGTTAGCCCTATTTCTCTGCTTCATGCCTACTGGACAGCGCAGCTAAGTCGCTGGGCTTCGGCGGGAGCCTCTTCTGCCATCAGGTCCCTAGTATTACGCTGATATCTCAGGACTCGTGGGTCCTTCATTCAGGTTGAGCATTTTCCCGGAGTATAATGCTTCGTGACTTGCTCCTTGATGTCTGGGCTGGGTGTTCGCTTTGAGAAGCTGCCCCGGCCAGGACGCACTACTCATATCTCGCCCCGATGGGTGTCCTGAGGTTTGAGTTATCCTCTCGACCATCATGCACATTCTCTGAGCTAGAGCTCCTCGCCGCTGAGGCGTTGAGTGGCTTAACACTCCTTAATTCCACTCTGCAGTTCGATAGGTGGTCAGGCCCACTGGGCTTCCCTGTCACACTGCCCTTATGGTTGAACCAGTGAATTGCCCCTTCACGGAGTGAGCTTGAGTATGCTGTGTTCCCTGAGGTATGAGTGAGATCTTTTTCTGCGGAAACCATTACTGAGTGCCTCGGCTCTGAGGAGCAGTAGCTCTGTAGGCGTGAATGGGTTGTTGGATCCTGTTGCCTCTACAGCTTCTCTGTAGGCCTGGTCAAACGGGATCCATACTCTCTACCGAGTGTTAGGCCAGTCCTGTTGTCTCCTTGGTCAGTTGCCTCTATGCTGGGACCCTGTTGTTCCCTGTTGGAATGTGTGATCCCCTTCTAAGCTGGATCCCGTTTCTGATGTCCCATCTGCAATCATCTGCTCCCTGGACATGGCCGTGCTCCCCTCACTGCGGGAGGGTCTTCTATGAGCTCGCCAGTCCTGGGTGGATTACATGAGTCCTACTTTGCCCTGGGCTAATGATCGCCTCGGTCAAGTTGGGTCCCCCTTTCTTTGCTAAGGGTCGAGCCCTCTGCTCTTTGAGCTCCGTGGCAGCGACATCAGGTGGTTTGGCCACTTGCTGCCTCCCTGATAGGTTGCCCCCCCTTGGCCGAGCCTAGCTGTGCTCCCCTCACCATAGAGGGTCTCTTGTGAGCATGCTGCTCCCAAATCGGGCGCCTAAGTTCCTCTCTGGTTTTGAGAGTTGAGTCTCCGCTCCATTGAGCTCCGGTTAACAGTCATGCCAGGCGGCTGGGCCATCATCTCCCTTCTAAGTAGCTGAGTCCCTCTCATTGGAGAGTCGAATCCTTCACTCTGTGAGCTCCGCTGGGTGGCATGTCAGGACTCTGCCTTCCTATTAGGCTGTTCTCTTGGTGAGCTCGGTAGTGCTTCCCTCACCCTAGAGGGTTATCCTCTATTCCCTCTGAGTACGACTGAATTAACTGTCACTCCCTGGGCGTGCCACAGTCACGTAGGGATCCTAGGCTGTGTAAGTGACAGCTTCGGTTGCCCCGTAGTAACAGTGTTTCTAAATACATGCTATGGTAAGGGCACACGCTGTGCTTCTGTGCACTTTCTATAGTCCACATTGTGGTAAGTGTGCACGCTAAGCATTTTGCATGCTTTCTAAAATCCTGCATGGTAAGGGTTACGTGCTGTCAGCCTCGTTCCCTTTCTCTGAGTTGGTTTAAGCCCCGGTTTTCTCCTTGGGCTCCACTCAACTAATGTATCCCTGTTGATACATTTCTGAAGCAGGGTGTTGGTACCAAGGATCTGTCGAGGCAGTTCTTGAGCAGGTTCATTCAGAACTGGCGGTAGCCCCCTGGGTGACAGGCCAGGGTCCGGGGTGAGTTTTTAGTCACCTGGCCGTATCCCCTCAAAGGAATCCTCTGATTCCAAGCCTTTGAGCTCTGCCCTAGGGCGTCCCAGCCCAGCCCTTAACAGGTAAGTTGTGTAAGGTATGCAGCTCAGGCCTTTGGTCGGAGGGGATATTGTCACTGACAGCCGTCAAGGCGTCCTAGGGGCAACTACCATGGCTATGGTAGAGTTGGTACTTAGTGCTCGCAGTGGTTTCTGGCATGCACTCCCCTCAGCATGGCGGCGTGGGTATACCATTCCCCATAGCGACCTCTAGAGGACGCAGTTCGAAGTTCCCTCGGAAGGGAATGTCTCAGGTTACGTATCTAACCATGGTTCCCTGAGAAGGGAACGAGACACTGCGTCCTCTAGATTCCTTGCAATGCTTCTGATGCAAGCTTCAGATGAAGAAGCGGATGACATGTTCTCCCTGCGCCCTTTTATACTGTGGTCGCGCTGGGTAATGACGTCATAGGCTGTCGTCAGCCAATGTTATTGTCGTTACTGTCGTGTTTAGATGTATGCTTCAGGCACCGGTCACGCTGAAGGTGTTCCCCCATAGCGACCTCTAGAGGACGCAGTGTCTCGTTCCCTTCTCAGGGAACCAATAAACAACCTTCATATAACAATAAGATTAAATCTATTGTCTTAATAAAAATCAATCATTTGGATTGTGCCCGCAGATGAAGAAACACTCATTTACAGCACTGCTATGCCAAGGCAAAGATTTACAGTAACACTTTCTTTGTGTTATTAAAGCTTTGAGCAGGAGAAACTGTGTCGCTTCACTATGTCAGTGCGGAAAAATTACAGACGAGTTCCATATCACAACTGGAAACACGCTGTGACGGTGGCACACTGCATGTATGCCATCCTGCAAAAAACCACTGGGATCTTCACTGAGCTTGAGGTCAGTGTCATTCTCACATTAGCATTTGCAGTGAACTTACAAAAGTGACTTATTTCAACTACGAGCTTCTAACAAAATGTTATCTACACTAACTGAAGAGTGCAGCAACTATTATACACTTATAGATTCATTCTATGTTACTAAATTCATTGTTCCATTTTTGGGGGGTAGTCATTACATTTAAGAGAGGTTTATTTTGCTAGCTGACCATGTGCAAGTAGTAAACAGCAAGAAACAAACTGTGGCCGTTCCTTTTTTTTGTTTGTTTTTTTGGAGGAGGCGTGGCTTTGGAGAGTGATTTGCAGGAAGGGTGGGATCTTATGCTTTCAAAGCTAGGTTGCTATTGCTAGCCTCTCCAAAATCACTCACTCTACTTGTAGTTATATTTAAAGAAATACCTGCATGTAATGACATCTGTAATACATTTTTGTAATTACATCTATAATTATACTGTTAACCCTTAACCCACCTTTTAAACTAACCTTACCACAAAATGGTTTGCTAATGGCGAGAATTGGACCTTAATATAAAGTGTGCCGTTAACATTATAGTTATCTTTGTCGTTATCATTCTTGGTGTGAACCAGTCCTTTAGTGTCACTGAAAAATGTAGTTAGCAGAAGTTAGTAGCTCCATAGTGTGACTTACTCTGTCGCCCTGCTTATGTCTTCTCGCACAGAGGAAAGGCTTGCTGATTGCCTGCTTATGTCATGACCTCTGAGATGATTTTTACAATTTGCATAATTTTAGTAAACTAACTAAAATCTTTATTTGGGCAAAATTGTTGGTGGTGTAAATGACAGGGAAATCATTTGCATACAAATATATTTAATTTGTGTAACTTTAAATTGCTTAAACTATGATTAATGATGATGCTATAATTTATATTTTATAATGATTTTCGTATTTAAGGAGTAGGTCTGGGACCAGGGTTTAACAATAAAAAAAAAAAATAAAATTATATATATATATATATATATATATATATATATATATATATAAGAGGTTTATTTTGCTAGCTGACCATGTGCAAGTAGTAAACAGCAAGAAACAAACTGTGGCCGTTCCTTTTTTTTGTTTGTTTTTTTGGAGGAGGCGTGGCTTTGGAGAGTGATTTGCAGGAAGGGTGGGATCTTATGCTTTCAAAGCTAGGTTGCTATTGCTAGCCTCTCCAAAATCACTCACTCTACTTGTAGTTATATTTAAAGAAATACCTGCATGTAATGACATCTGTAATACATTTTTGTAATTACATCTATAATTATACTGTTAACCCTTAACCCACCTTTTAAACTAACCTTACCACAAAATGGTTTGCTAATGGCGAGAATTGGACCTTAATATAAAGTGTGCCGTTAACATTATAGTTATCTTTGTCGTTATCATTCTTGGTGTGAACCAGTCCTTTAGTGTCACTGAAAAATGTAGTTAGCAGAAGTTAGTAGCTCCATAGTGTGACTTACTCTGTCGCCCTGCTTATGTCTTCTCGCACAGAGGAAAGGCTTGCTGATTGCCTGCTTATGTCATGACCTGGACCACCGCGGCTACAGTAACAGTTATCTACAGAAGTTTGACCATCCGCTGGCTGCCCTGTATTCCACATCCACCATGGAACAGCATCACTTTTCACAGACAGTATCCATCCTGCAGGTAAAGCTCCTACACACTGCGCCAGCTCAGTACGATAGTTTCAAACAAGCTAAATGTGGTCAGTTACACCCACCTGTTATGGGGCACGAACATGTGCACAGACTCCCTTAGATTCTCCAATGACTATATCACTTATGGTATAAAATTGGCTTGTGGGCAGTGGTCTTATGTATGATTTCAGTGCTTGTTGTTTAAAGCTATAGTCCTTGCTAAATGTTGTTGTTCACCCCAGGTGAATAATGTAAAAAATAAATAAATAAATAACAGATATCACTATACTTCCCCAGTTGACTGATTATGTTAAGGTTTTGCAAACATTTTTGCATTGCAAGGTTTCTGAAATGTTGTCTTTAAATATGTAATTAAGGCATTATCTAATTAAAAATGCACTAATTTGCATACATTCCAAGAACAGAAATCTGAACACTGGATAAAGGCAGTTTCAAAATTAATGGTTCATTTCGTTGGCCTATTAGAGTCCAGTTTTGGGGAAAGTTACTTTTAAAAGTAATGCATTACATTGTTTTTGCGTTACTTTTTGTCATCTTAGCTGGGCTTGCTTATTTATTTTTAATAACAGAAAAGCCAAAAGTTATATTTGTGTCAACTATAAAGGCCCTTTCACACCAAAAGTTAAATTAATAAGCTTCAGCCTAAAGGAAGTGCCTCTGCACATCATTCCCAATTTATCTGAACATAGGGACAGGAGAGGAGTCAGTAAATAAATGGGAAAACAAAGTAACTTGCATTTCTTATTTGAAAAAGCAACTCAGATATTTTCTTGTAAAATTAGAAGTAATATGTTACTTTACTAGTTACTTCTAAAAAAAAAAAAAGTAATCTGATTACATTCCCTAAATCAGGAAATATTGTCAACAGCCTGAAAAAAAGTCATCTTTTTTTTTTTTTTTTTTTTTTATAAAATCAGGAGAATAATATATGAAGAAACCACTCTGTAAGACCATTCATAATATCAAAATATAGATAAGAATAAATACAGAGATTGGAATAGATAGTACACTACATACACCAAACGCTGTAATGCAGTAAGCTGCATTTTAAGAAAATGGCCTTTAAAGATATGTATTGTAATTAAAATCTAGAGACGCAAATGGATAACATGAATAAAATAAACACTTAAAAGTGTATGTTTGATGTTTTCTTTCCACTAGTCTGAAACAACAGTTTATAAAAAGCCAAATAGCCTACATAAAATTGACCAAAAACAATGTTTTTGCCTGTAGTGCCTTGCATGCAGAAACCATCACATTGTCTTTAAATGCCATATTGACACAAGCTGAGATACAAGGAAGCATTCACGTGGTAGTGCCATTTATTTACAAATCAGGTATCAATGCAAACATGCCCCCAAAATTTGCGCTGAATGCAGTTTGCATTAGGTCGACCACAAAAAAATAGACTTATGGTCTAATGTTTCTTTTTTTTCCTCATTCCCATATTTAAGAAATTTCCCATCTTGAACAGAGTCAGTTGGTTGTCAGCCATCTCTTGGATGCCCCTTCGGCTTTGCTGCAACTCTCCAGCAGAGCCAGACGCCCCATAAGTGGAGCTTTTGCTTTTTTATTGATCTCTTTTTTTCCCATAGCTGGAAGGGCACAATATTTTCTCCAACCTGACTTCCAGTGAGTATGAGCAGGTGCTGGAGATCATCAGGAAGGCCATAATTGCTACAGACCTCGCCTTGTACTTTGGCAACCGCAAGCAACTGGCTGAACTGCTGGCCACAGGGGCGCTGGACCTGAACAACCGTGCTCACAGGTCAGAGGTCATAGTTCACCTCCATTATCACAGAACTCTTGTAAATCGTACCTCAACTTCAGAGATATTTTCAGGGAGCCACCGAAACAGTGTCAAAGGCTGTGTTTGAACTGAAGTAGTAACATACTGCTTGAGTGAATCTCACAAAAACTGTTACATTTTATTTGAAGGTGAGATTGTTTTAGTGAATTTGCACAAGTACTGAGTAGGGCTGCACGATAAATCGCATGCGATATTTAATGCGCATCTTGTCAGAAAGCCAGTTCTGTAATCAGCGGTAAATCTCCATCACCTGCGGGCTTTCACATTGAGCAGCATTAAGCATTAAATATCGCATGCGATTTATCGTGCAGCCCTAGTACTGAGTAATATTAATTAACTGCATGTACTTACTATAGGGTAAAAGTTAGGTTTTGGTTTAGGATTAGCTGCTTTCAATTATGCATAATTTTCAGTTATTCTGGTATTACTATAGTAAATACATGATGTAACGTAACTATGTCACTTTAAAATAAACATAGAAAATATATCCAAGTTACATTTTTCCCTAAAGTCATAATTTGCCCCTTTTTTACTATTTAATTGTTTTGTTGTTGTTGTTGTTGTTGTTTACATTGTGACATTATTTTCAATAATTATTTTCAATTAAGCACATTTCTTTAATTTAGACACTACTAAATTAAATCAGCATGAATTAAAAGCTCTATGCATGAATTTCTCCCAAAACTAACATTTTTTTGGGGTTTTTTTTTTTATAAATTGGACCAAACTGTGAATGAAAAAGAGAATTACATAATGTTCTGTCCCAGCATTTATTGTGTGGGTGCTTTGTTAATGCTATATGACCCGTTTTTGAAACATATTACAACTTAATTCAAGCAAAGCAATAGATCTTAATGTAGAGAATTCCTAGCAAATGTAATTAATTCACAGCCTGATCTGATCCCGTTGATGAATTGCTGGTTGATTATTTGTCCACCGCAGGGACCGTGTGATCGGTCTGATGATGACGGCCTGTGATCTCTGCTCTGTGACCAAACTGTGGCCCGTCACACGACTCACGGCCAATGACATCTATGCTGAGTTCTGGACTGAGGTAAGCTTTAATCATTGTAAGCCAAGCATGAATCGTTTTATTGTAACAATATTGTGTAATAAAGTAAATGATTGTACAGGTCTCTGTATTGTTTTGAGCGGTATGTCAAATTGCAGGCCAGACCTCTGAAGGACATTCAGTGAAATTGTTCATCTGGTTTGTAATGATAGGGGGATGAAATGAAGAAGATTGGAATGCAGCCCATCCCTATGATGGACAGAGATAAAAAGGATGAGGTTCCCCAGGGACAGGTAAATGAGAACTTTCTGTCATTATCAAGCTCCTAGAAGAACGTTGCTTTTCCTATCCCTTGCCTTCACGTCGGAAATGTGCCTTAAAAGTTGCCTAGGTAGGCAGCTCATTAGGTTAGCGGTTATATTTACTTGTAGAGTAAATGCTAAATTTGAGTTGAGAAGCCATTTTTTAAATTTTCCTTTCTTATCTGAGTCCTGTTTTTCTCATGTTCTCAGGTGGGCTTTTACAATGCTGTGGCTATTCCCTGTTACACCACCCTGTCAGAGCTGTTTCCTCCCTCCGGTCCTCTGCTTACAGCCTGCAGGTCTGTCACAAAAAGTGATCGTAAGCACTTTAATTAAACAAATTGAACCAATTGACTACTATTTCAAAGTCTGTTTGGTATAACTAATATTATAAAACAGATTTCTGGATGAGTCTTGTTCAATATGGCTATAATCACTATATGCAGACCTGTGACCGCACATCAACCTCATCAACATCGATTTTATATTAATGCGCCAAGTGGCTATGGTGCATTACAGGCTAATATTACTTAGTGGAAGCATTGCTTGTTGTGATGAATATAATTTTAAATCATTAATTGATTTTTAATGAAATTATTTGAAGCTTATATTAATACTATGCTAGATTTTGTTTTTTAATTATGTATGGTTTTATTGGTCACACTTTATTTTAAGGTCCAATTCTCGCTATTAACAAACATTAACTATGACATTTGCCTCAATAAACTCCTAATTTGCTGCTTATTAATAGTTAGTAGGGTAGTTGTTAAGTTTAGGATTAAGGATGTATAATATGGTCATGCAGAATATGTGATTTATAAGTACTAATAAACAGCCAACATGTTAATAATAAACAACTAGTTAATAGTGAGAATTGGTCCCTATTCTAAAGTGATACCGTTTTATTATATATATGGCATATATATGTTTAAAGCTAGTGTAATGTTGTTATATCAGCAGGTTTTTGACCTCTTTCTGTGGCATGAAAGTTGCATTTCAAACACTGTTCAAATAGCTCCTGTTTGGTTTCAGAATAATCAGCAGCAGAATAATTCCCTTTAGCTACTGTAGGTTCAATAAGTTTAGCACATATTCATAATCTTTATACAATACATCATTTTCTTTCCTGCTCTGAAACTGGAGTTAATTATGCTGCTTTGCTCTGGTCACATTAACCGACTTCCATTATGTAGCCATTGTGCTAGTTCTGATGTGAGGATGGGTCCGTGTCTAAACTTCTCCCCCCTGCGCCCCTAAACTGGTCGAATGCTTGCGAGCCTCGGTGACCTTGATCTGTGGGGAATGCAAACACAGTTGACGGCGCAATTTGAAAAGCCGTGCCACTGCGTCAGCACCAGGTTTCCAACTGGAATGTGTGGGCAGCCGGCCCAGACGCTCCGGAGCCCTGGTCATTGTGAGATCAGAGAGGGACCAATAAAGGACATCAACATCACTAATTGAAAGAGAGAGTCTAATAGTCAACCATTTTCACCCTCTGTTTTTGGCCTGCATGCTACATAAATGGAACAAAAAGGACAGACCTAAACAAAAAAATTGAGTTAACAAAGTTTTAGAGTTTACCACCTTCTTTCTTCCTGTCTGGGTCAGATCGCCCTGACAGCATTGCTTCTGTTACTCTAGTGACAGACTTCGAATGGCATTTTTAGGGTTGTAACAACTAATCAATAAAATGGAAAAAAAAAATCAGTAATGAAAAATAAAAATTTTATTATCGGTTAGTTCGATCCATTATTTAAAAAAAAAATGTATGAATTAAAGTATGAGAATTACGTAGTGACCAAGTAAAAAAGTTAAACAAATCAAAGTGGTCTTTTATTTCAGCAACACTTCTTGGCTACTTTTCATGTTTGTTTTCATGTTTTTTTCTTCTTTTCATTTTCTTTCTTTTTTTAATAAAAAAAAACTGTGAGGAAATTCATAAACAGTTACACTTTATATTTTATCTGAAAATGATCATTTTAAGCATTTAGAGTGCCCCTATTATGGATTTTTGAAAATTACCTTTCATGCAGTGTGTAACACAGCTCTAAGTGAATGAAAACATCCTGCAAAGTTTTAAATCTGAAAGTGCACCGTGTATAAAGTTATTGTCTGTCAAAAGGAAGATTCGACTCAGAATCATTGAAACGAGTCGTTTTTAAAACGAATCCCAAGCCGTTTCATGTTGACACATGAAACATTAGCATATTGCCCGCCCACTTGTTGGTCTTTTCGAGTTGGTCTGAATGAAGATGCAAATTCATTCTTTGCCACTAGGTGCCGTTTTTGGAGAGGTGAAAATAGCGGTTTCCCCGGTAACGCTGTACACAAAGCAGCACTGCGCTCACAAACGCTGCTTTATCAGGCATTACAGGCGAGATGAAATGAAAATGAGAACAATTGGACCAATCACCGCAGATTAGCGTCACGCAAAGGAGGGGTTTGTAAAAATGAATCGTTGAGCGAATCGTTTGGGTGTCGTTGAGCAAATAAGGTAAAAATAAATGCATATTATAAATGCATATTATAAGACAATGAAAGTGTTTTTTGCCCTTGCATGCATTTCAGCCTGTTGTTGGGGACTCCCAAAACCAAAATATGAAAATATTTCATTACCCATAATAGGGGCACTTTAAGCATAAATGCATTTGTAAGATTTTAAAAGAAACTAATTCATTCAAGTTTGTCTCAATTTTTGACATGAATTACATTCAATATTTAAAATTTTGTAATAAATTCAAAACGTTCAACACAGCAACTGTTACCATTAATCAAATCACCATTAACCATATACTTCATAACCAAAATATATATTTAAAATCGTACACTACCTTTCAAAAGTTTGGGGTTGGTAAGATTTTTTTTTTTTTTAAGAAGTCTCTTGCCTCAGCTCATATGCATATGACCAATCGATTTTAATATGTATTAAAATGCCGTTTATTCCTGTTATGCAAAGCTGAATTTTCAGCATCCTTACTCCTTTCGTCAGTGTCACATGATTCTTCAGAAATCATTCCAATATGCTGATTTGCTGCTCAAGAAACATTTCTTATTATAATTTTGTGCTTTGTTGAAAAAAAAAAAAAAAACAGGGACACGTTTTTATGTCCAGAGGTGAAAATGTGAAAGCAAAACATGCTACTTCTCACTTTAGTCACTTAATTTGTGGATTTTTTGTAATTGTTTTGCAACATTTAAGCTATAGACCAACAGTTGTGTTTTTGCTGTGATAATGTGGAGCTCTCTGTGTTTGCAGGGAAAACCTGGCCCAATGGGAACGAATCGTGCAAGGAGAGGACACCTCTGCATGGGCTTCCACTGACGAGGCTGAGCTGAGCGAGACATCAGACAGTGTACCAGTAAAAGTGGACAACTGAATCTGTGGCACCTGTCCCACAGCACCACCTACACCCTGCCAGAGACACTGGTCTTCCTGTGGACAGTCCCACTTCCTGCAGAGACAGGAGGAAGCGCAGAGGGCAAGCGGGGAAGGATATATTCAGAAAAATAAACAAAACATAATGTTACCTCAGTGGGTGACGGAGGCGTACACTCGAATGACATCAGGGCTCCTTCGTTGATGGCTGGGACTCAAGTCCACTCTGTGTGGGATCACTTCAGCAGAACGGCAGTACTTTTCCTTAGGAGGTGGCTTCTGCATCATTTCACTTAGGTGTTTTTTTTTTCTTTTTTTTTCAGTTTCTTTCGTGGTCTTACATTTGAAGGGGCCTTAAATACCAACCCGAGTTACGATCTGGTTGGGTGACTCGTAACTAAGATGTTTCGTCTAGTTTAAAATGGTACGTTTTATCCTGCTGTGGTCAAAATACGCAAAGCGCACTTGAGTGGATTTATTTTTTAAGACAGACAGAAAGAATATTTTGTCGCATTTGAGGTGAAAGAGGCACGATAAACCCGTGGTCTGATGGATGTTTTATATAATATTTTGAGCAAAAATGTTTTGCAGTACTTGAATGAAGAAATACAGCCTATTCTGAGTGGAGTTGAAAACAAAAATCCCCTAAAGCGCGTCCTTCCAAAGCAAAGAGCTTTTGTAACGGCATAAGTTTGACTCTGAACCTTCCTGGAGTCACACACAAGTCACGGTGTTCCTCACTGAGATCTGCAGCATCTTCCAACCTGATATGAAGTTTAACCCGTTGAAGCTCATAGTGCTACTTATGCTACTAATTAAGGAGTAAATAATGACTAAATTTTAATTTCTAGGTGACCTATCCCTTTAACTCTGTGGACTAACCCCCTTCAAAATATCCCAACCTAAAACAAACAACAACAACAACAAAATTACTGACCAATCCTATCTTAGTAACTGGTGCATCCACCATAAAACCAGACAAACTGTTCCTCTTTTCTAATGTAAGTCTATGAGAATCCTGCATGTTTGGTTTCTTTAAAAGGAATTGGATAGAAATCAGTTTCCACAGCACTTAAAAATATCTAATAGGCTAATGACAACAGAAAGATCAACATATTACGTTCCCTTTTCCCAAATCGAAATAAACCTTGAGAAGTTCATACTGTGGATGACACTTTGTAACTCTCACGCCCAAAGCAACATGATTCACAAGTCTTCAAAGATGATTGTTTTTGTGTAATTCAAACACATTCTTTACACAAACTCAGCAGAGGAATAATGCTTTGCAATGTCACACTTCTTCATCGCTTTATACTCCAGTTTCTATGGGACGTTCTGTAAAGTTTGTGTGAGCAAAGAACAGTAACCAATGGGACGGGAGCTTAGTGAAGGGGCAACTGAAAATGCATCTGACACAGACAACTGCACTTTCTGGAGAGTAAGTTTTATGTCTTCTACATAATATGTTGTCAAATGCAGGCTAAGGTGAATTTCAAGTTGCGACCCAACAAAAATGTTTGCCTTCGTTTCAAATGGCTGAACTCAGTTTCGTTTTTTTCTTTTATTTTTTTTTCTTCTTTGTATCCGTGCAGTCCCTGCAGACAGTGATGGAACTCTGACTGACTGATGGCCTTCTGTAAATACTGCAGGACTGATGAGTGAATGTAATCAATACTGTCACAAACTGCTTCAAGATGCCTGTTAGTTTTTAAGTGTACCAAAGGTGTGTACACCATCGGATATGGGAATGTTAAACATGGCTTCCAATGGTTGTGTCGGCATGCGATGTGTGCACTGTGTAGAGAGACCGAGTTTGGAGATGTAAGCTACATTCTAATGGTGCTATCTTAGGCAGTCATGCACTTTCTGATCCCGTGTGCATGCGAGTGTGTGTTCGCTCTGGAGTAATGCTACCAACCCCCATCTACTACGGAGTCAGAGTTGAGAGGATTTATTCAGCACCGCTCACCTCCGTCACCAAGATCATCCACAACCAGTTGTCTTTCCCCTCATATGCACTATGTTTAGAGACTATTATTATTGTTATTAATATTATTGCTCCTATTATATTATTATTGCCACAATTATTGATTATTACCATTGTTATTTTGTTAATTAGAGTTAAATTTTAAATTAACTTATATTTTTTATACAAAGTTTAGCATTTGTGTTTTGTACAGAACAAATTGTACATTATGGAACAAACCGAATGGTCATTTGGAGAAACTGCATACTGTTGCCCGAGATAAATGTCTCAACTCTAAATGTATGAGCAGTAATTACTTTTATTAAATATTTCTGACAAATACAAATTGTGTAATATTTATTCTGTGAATAATTTTTTTTTTACATTGAAAGATTTACAACAATTAATCTATTTGCCATCTATATTCATAGTTGACTTGAAGTGGAAACAGCACTATGTGCAATTATTTTAACTAATATATAGTAGTAAACAAAAATATATAAAGTAATACACAAACATTAGCCTGTTGTTCAGAATTTTTTCTGTGACTTTTAAGCAGCAGGTGGCATCGTGTTTTCACACAGGTATCCTAGCAGAGTATCACAAATAAAGCTTTTACCTGAACATGATCCACACGTGTCCAAATAGCTCATCTTAATTTTGAACATATACTGAACAAAATTATAAACGCAACACTTTTGTGTTTGCCCCCATTTTTCATGAGCTGAACTCAAAGATCTAAGACTTTTTCTTATTGTGCCAGCCTAAGGCACACCTGTGCAATAATCATGCCGTCTAATCAGCATCTTGATATGCCACACCTGTGAGGTGGATGGATTATCTCGGCAAAGGAGAAGTGCTCACTAACACAGATTTAGACAGATTTGTCAACAATATTTGAGAGAAATAGGCCTTTTGTGTACACAGAAAAAGTCTTAGATCTTTGAGTTCAGCTCATGAAAAATGGGGGCAAAAACAAAAGTGTTGCGTTTATAATTTTGTTCAGTGTATATCTAGAATGAATACAGGTAAAGTGAGACATTTCAGTTTAATCGTCTTCATTAAAATCAACATTAAGTTTATAATATTCGGAATGACACAAAGTTTTTTTTTTTTTACCTCATATCAAGGTGACACAGAAGGGTTTCTTAACATCAAGGTGCGTGTCATCATACCACATAAGAACAGTAAGGGTGGGAAACATGGAAGGTACAAAGACAAAGCCATGTACAATTAAATAAACATAACTTAATCGAATATAATTTTAAGGTTACGGTTATGAACAGTCAGTTTTGTGACTGTTGTTCTGGTATGGGACACAAGTGTCAATCAGATTTTCCTAAAAGGAGAGGGTTAGAATTGCTTGCGTACAGACAGTTCCAGCTGTGAGATAAACTACTCATCATTGCTGCAGTGCTGAAGATGTGGCGAGTCCATTCTGAATCTTTTGCGTCTCGCGCCATCTATTGGCAAAAAAAAACTATAAATCCTCATTTTAGCTTGTCATAAACTTGTGCAAGCTCTCCGTTCATAGTAACCGTTCAGAGAAGCTTTGTGAACCGAATAAACCGATTCATTGAAAAGAGCGGACTCAGCCGAACGAAGATTCAAACTAAAGTCGTGGTATTTAGAATTCTATTACAAAGCAACGCGTAATAGACATATTATGACGTAGCCTGTGCCGACGCGAGTAATTTGAACGTTAGGGAAACATTCAGTATTTGCTGGGTCTTTTCTTTTGTGTGGCTTTTTGTTTGTCAGTCAGTAAAAAAAAGCCCCGCAATAGTGATTCAGAAAGAAAAAAAAAATCCCAGTGATAATGATTAAAACTTTAAAAATAGCCAGCATGAAGCATTGCGAATGATGTAATGTCAAATAAAATAAATAAATTAAATTATGTATTGCTTTTATAGATAGATAGATAGATAGATAGATAGATAGATAGATAGAGACGCATAAACACACAAACACACACACATTATCATAAAATGATGTTGTATTTCTATCTTTCACCAAACATTTTACCTTGAGGCACTTCACTGAATTTGTACTTAGAAAAAAAAGAACTAAATGTGCCCAGTGAAATAATGTTAAATATACATGTCATTTTCTTTTGTGTAGCTTTTTGTTTGTGTCAGTAAAAAAAAGCCCAGCAATAGTGATTCAGAAAGAAAAAAAAAATATAGATAGATAGATAGATAGATAGATAGAGACGCATAAACACACAAACACACACACATTATCATAAAATGATGTTGTATTTCTATCTTTCACCAAACATTTTACCTTGAGGCACTTCACTGAATTTGTACTTAGAAAAAAAAGAACTAAATGTGCCCAGTGAAATAATGTTAAATATACATGTCATTTTCTTTTGTGTAGCTTTTTGTTTGTGTCAGTAAAAAAAAGCCCAGCAATAGTGATTCAGAAAGAAAAAAAAAATCCCAGTGATAATGATTAAAACTTAAAAAATAGCCAGCATGAAGCATTGCGAATGATGTAATGTCAAATAAAATAAATAAATAAAATTATGTATTGCTTTGATAGATAGATAGATAGATAGATAGATAGATAGATAGATAGATAGATAGATAGATAGAGACACATAAACACATACACCACACACACACAAACACACGCACATTATCATAAAATGTTGTATTTCTATCTTTCACCAAACATTTTACCTTGAGGCACTTCACTGAATTTGTACTTAGAGAAAAAAAAAAGAACTAAATGTGCCCAGTGACATAATGTTAAATATACATATGTCATGTTTCAGTTAATATATGCAACATCCTGACAACTCATGTTTATATTATAAATAGAATATTTGATGTAATGTGTCCACTTAAACTTTGACAAGCATCCTACATCAGAAATCATAGCACCCACATCCGCAGCAGAAAGATAGTGTTGGGATTGCTGATATGTTGACAGGTAAAATATGCGAGAGAAACAAAATTGAAGATTAAAATGTATAATGCCTAATGCTGTGGGGTGTTTAGAAAATTCCAAGTTGAATCACCAAATCCCAGGAATGACCCATATGTTTTTGTATATTTTCAAATAAACGTTAACAGCCAACTGCTGCCTTCTAGTGGCACTTCATGAAATGTACTGTAGCACTGAGGTACCGCCCGAATGCTGGAGCTGAAGCAGATTCAGGTGTTTGGTGTGAACTGTTTTCCTGCCTTTTACATTATTTGTATATTCTGTAAAGTGTTGTCCATTAAAAGCTAAGCATAAAGCAGACCTGATTATAATGTTTACGCATATTTTTTCCAATCATCTTTTGTTCTCTATGAATATTAATTTATGAATTCGCTGCAGGGCCTATGATGTAGGCTAAATAGAATTCTTCTTTTCATTAAAATATTTTAAAAGCTAGCCTACGAGTTATTTATATCTGGACTTTTTCATGCTAGGCTATATTTGGAGATGTTGATCAGTGCAGTATTACTAAATATATTTGAGGTGAAATATGAACATTGATATGCATGGCACGCATGATTACAGACATACAGGATTTAGAAATGACAGAATTCATATCGAAATGCTGTTTGGTAGCATTTAATGGGAAAATGGGTATTTATTTATTTAAAAGTCTATTAAAAAAAGCCTATATGTTTAAAAGTCTAAAGTGACCTTTATAGAACTTTATAGTGAAATTTATAAGACTATTCTATAAATAAATAAATCAATAAAAACACTAATGGTAGATGTTAAAAGCTGATCACTAAACAAGAGGCCGTCCCCATCTGTATCAGCCAGAACATTTACACGGAGCAGGTTTGAAATCAGTGACATTGCAGTCCATATGATAAGAAAGTGCACATCAGTTGCACATCAATTGCAATTGCACATAAGCAGCAGACACAGCTCTTTAACAACTATACAGAATGAGTGCTTACTGAAGAGATAACAGTTCAATTTAAAACCTAAATAAACTATTGACAGTTCATGTTGGCTTTGTCAATTGTACATTAATAATGTACAAACTTATGTTCTAAAGCTAAATCATCAAATCCTTACAACCTCACATAGTTTTCAAAGAGAAACTCCATTAAACTCTGCCCAAAACTTCAGCCTGTTCTGACTTAGTGTGCTATGTCATTTCTGATTAAACTAAATACAGAATTCTGGCATGAAACTCTAGATGGTGCAGTCCGATAGGTCTAACTCAATCTGACCTAATGACATCATCACATGGCACAGCTGATTGGTTCTCTCCTGTATTGGCAACCAATGAGCTCGCTGCTCAACATTCAAATATATGATTATTGATCAGTGCTTGCAGTAGCAGTTGCAGCTTCATTCAGAAACCCTCCACCTTCCCCAACTCCACCTGTATCTGCTACGAGGTGATTCATGTACGCTATATGGGGGTTATTTCATGTATGTTATATTTGCAGCAGCAATATTTCTTACATGCTTACAGCAGCATGTTGTGGATGTATTGGCAGTAGCAAGTCTCAGTACTTGCTCTGCCGAGCTAAATCATCAAATCCTTACAACCTCACATAGTTTTCAAAGAGAAACTCCATTAAACTCTGCCCAAAACTTCAGCCTGTTCTGACTTAGTGTGCTATGTCATTTCTGATTAAACTAAATACAGAATTCTGGCATGAAACTCTAGATGGTGCAGTCCGATAGGTCTAACTCAATCTGACCTAATGACATCATCACATGGCACAGCTGATTGGTTCTCTCCTGTATTGGTAACCAATGAGCTCGCTGCTCAACATTCAAATATATGATTATTGATCAGTGCTTGCAGTAGCAGTTGCAGCTTCATTCAGAAACCCTCCACCTTCCCCAACTCCACCTGTATCTGCTACGAGGTGATTCATGTACGCTATATGGGGGTTATTTCATGTATGTTATATTTGCAGCAGCAATATTTCTTACATGCTCACAGCAGCATGTTGTGGATGTATTGGCAGTAGCAAGTCTCGGTACTTGCTCTGCCGCAGCAGCGTAGCAGATCTATTCCCCCAAGACCAAATACATTAACATTGTCATGTACATTACCATGCCAATCCCTCCCAGAGTTGTCATGACAGAAATAATATTTCTAACTTTATGCTTCCCAAAAATATCTAAATGAATTTTAATTCAGAAATTAAAAACACGTTCCACATAGAAGCGATTCAGGTCTCTGTACTCTATTTCATTTTTAAATATATTAATATTTTTAAATATTATTGACCCATAAATCTTATCAAAGCCTTGCAATCCAGTATTACTTCATGCAATCACTATGGCTCATTCAAATTTCATATAACCAAAAAGCTGAGCACGACATAGGCCTTTGAGATTACCAACAGTCTGTCAATGGAAATAATAGTTGAAATGCGATAGCTCTAGATGAAATTATTGTATGAGAGAGGAGACCCTCTTCTAGGTAAAGTGTGAACTGCAGGCAATCAAAGCAAAAAGTTGATTACAAAAGGGGAGTGTGACTATGATTCACTGAGAGAGTAAGCCTCAGCAAGAGATTGGACCTTACCTTTAACCTTAGCACCAATCAATGCCTTGCTGTCTGCTTGATCTAATCACAGTTCAAAGTCCCTTCCACGAGGCACTATCAACAGAGTCTGTTTGTGCTGCTCACTCTTTTCTTTCTAAGCCCTTCGGCTTTATCTGTCTCCCCTTCTTCTTGGACCCTACAGACCTCATAGGACCCGGGGCCACATCATGTTTCCACGTGCACTGCCGCTGCTGCTGCTATGTATCTCCACAGGCTTGGCTGCCACGCTTATCCAGGCCTCTTCTGATGCAGCTGCGGTGGATTCTCCAGCTGACGGCTCTGTTTTACCTGAAGCTCAGGCTGGTGAAACCCCAGATGACATCTTGATGGCAGATGCCCCTGTTGAGGGAAAACCTGCAGAGACCCAGAGCTCCATGCAAGAATCTGAAGATGATTCAGACTGGGGCTTAGGTTCTATCAGAGGGGGTTTCCAGGCAGTGAATGGCTATTTTGACTCCATACTGGAGCTGATGGGGGGTCGAGATGGTGTATGTCAGTACCGCTGTAGATATGGTAAGTGAAATAGTACTTGTATTTTAGTCTTTTTAGTAGAATAGTCTTTGTATTTTATTCTTTGCTCAGTGTGCATTCTAAACGCTTCTCAGATTACTGTCACACTATATGCTTTGGGCAAAGACTTTCTTTCGTTTGGGCAAAGACCTTTCTTTCTCCTGTAGAATGCAAAAGAATGTGAATCTGTACAAAAAAAGCTCAGAAGAATGTTGACTGCTTGTGACCAAGTGTTTCAATCTCCAAAAATAGGCATAACTACTTTTAGTATACTTATATTTTCTAAAGCTTGACTGATGTAGTCAATATGAATTGTCATAGTATGGAATTGAGAAGAATATGTACATTCTTCCAAACTTTTCCTTTTATGCTTCCACTGGAAACAACAACAACAACAGTAAAGAAGGTAAAAAATGACTGAATATGCATTAATATACAGCTACTTCAAAGAAACATTTATTGTGCTTTACAATTTGCATATAGTGTTTAACACTGACACTACTAATGAAAAACTAAATAGGTTTTATTTGATTTAAAGGCAAATCTTCAATACTTATCTTGCTGAAACTGTCCACTGCTTTTGACATGGTTAACCACCAGATCCTCCTGTCAACTCTATTAGCAAAGGGTATCTCAGGAACCACACTCCAGTGGTTTGAGTCTTATCTCTCAGATAGGTCCTTCAAGATACCTTGGAGAGGTGAGGTGTCCAAGTCACAACATCTGACTACTGGGGTGCCTCAGGGCTCAGTTCTTGGACCACTTCTCTTCTCTGTCTACATGGCATCACTAGGTTCTGTCATTCAGAAACATGGCTTTTCATATCACTGCTATGCTGATGACACTCAACTTTACCTCTCATTCCATCCTGATGATCCGACGATAGCTGCTCGCATCTCAGCTTGTCTAACAGACATTTCTTGCTGGATGAAGGACCATCACCTTCAACTCAACCTTGCCAAGACAAAACTGCTTGTGGTTCCAGCAAACCCATTGTTTCATTACAATTTCACCATCCAGTTAGGCACATCAAC